TTGAAGATATTGGAACTAATCCCGGAACATCCCTTTCCAAATTCACATTCTTATTCCACCGCTTGAGAATCATAGGATGACCTTGATACGGTTGAACACACTTCAAAATCTTGTCAACTTCAGATTGATTATCAAACCGCACCATGAAGATTCCCTTTTGCAGCATAATGATCTTATACTCCACAACATTCTCTTCCAGATGCGTTAGTCTCAAAAGAATGGGAAGTATGTTCTCTTCCCTAACAAGTAACCAACAATTGAAAACTACCAGTATTCGACTTCCTACGCAGCATCTTCATCGGTGATATGGACAATCTCTTCAGACTTGCCTTCATCCACATGCACCAGATTCGCGAAGGTCTACAGAGTACAGTGAGTCATTTAAGGGGCTACTCCAAGTGGTTTGAGGAGGGGAAGTTTCATGGGACCCCCCTGCTCCCACGGGCTGATGGGAGGATGTTTGGTCCTCCATAAACATAAACTGAAGCCCTAGCCTTCGCCGATATCCTAGTTCATGTGACCCAAAGTCGGTAATGCTGAAACCCTAAATCGCCCGAAATCCTAGATGTATATAAACCTTGTGGATCAACAAGTTGTGTGCTTCGGCTCAAGAAATATGTTTTATAACTCTCTTTCCCTCTCCTTGCGAATTCTATTTGGATAAAACTTTATGCAGTGGTTCTTGGACAATATAGATGCCATTGAGTAAATGAGCAGGATCATATGAAGATTTATAATCTCTGGAAATTATAGAGATCTGGAAGAATATGAGTTAGCGTGTACAGCTGAATATACAACTGTTATCTATTAAGAGTGACAGCTGAATGTACAATTGTTATCTATTAAGAGTTACAGCTAAATGTACAGTTGAATGTACAGTTGTTATCTATTAAGAGTTACAGCTGTTATCTATTAGGAGTTAGCGTGTATTAGTTGTCAAATTAATTGTATAGTTGACTTACCTTGAATAGGTTTGTGTATTCTGTATAAATACCCTTAAGATATATGAAAGAAATATAACTTTTTCTGCCATTTATCAATTTGGTATCAGAGCAATTAAGTTTTTCGGTAATTTTGCTAATGGAAAGAAGGCTGTTAGAGAGATTAGGTGCAAGTAAAACTGAAGACATGGAGAATGTAGGAGAAAGTGAGACATTCCCAGCCCCTGTAATTGGCATAGGAATCCCGTTAGCAACCTGAACAGACTTAACAGGTGAAGGTATTAGAGAGTCAAGTATGGAAGAGTTACTAGTCATATGATCAGTAGCCCCTGAATCAATAACCCAAGTGTTAGAAGCAGTAGAAATAAAGGCCAAACCAGAATTACCTCCTTGAGAAGACACTCGAGGTACATGAGAAGCAGAAGATGGAGAAGTGTCGGTGATAGCGACCTGAGCAAATTTCTTGTTCTTCTCAACTTGCTTAAGTTTGAACCACTCCGGATAACCATGTTTCTTCCAGCAAACATCAACCGTATGTCTCGTACTAGTGCAGTGAATGCAGAGACGAGAAGTAGAGTCAGTAGAAGGAGGAGCTGGTCGGGAACTCCTTTGGACAGCAAGAGTCGAGGCCTCTGAGTGATCCTTTATTGCCATGGTGACCTGTCTCTGTGCTTCACGATGAACTAGAGAATATGCTTCTTCCAGGCTTGGTAAAGGAGAGGTAGCTAGAACACGACTACTAACTTGATCCAAACCTACAAGAAACATATAGACCCGATCCTCAGAAATACGCTTCCTCTGTTTCTCAATATCAGTTGCACACGTCATATCATTTAGTCTTCGATATTCAAGTTCCTTGAAGATTGAGTTCAGCTCATTGTAGTACTCTACAAAAGGCCGACCATCTTAACGCAATTGAAAGGACTTCTTCATCAGTTCATAAACCTAAGAAGAATCAGAGACATCAAGATAGCTTCTCTTTACCGCATCCCAAACCTCCCTGGCTGTTCCACACTACACAAAGTGGGACATCAGATTTACCGTCATAGAATTGATAAGCCAAGACTTGACTAGGGCATCTTCAGCCTCCCATTCATCATAGCTTGGATCATCCTCTGCAGGTGCAACCTTTCTCCCTGTGATATATCCCTTTTTTTCTGTCTACCAGCAATATGTATCTCCAAAATCTGAGACCAAACATGATTATTAGCACCATCCAATTTAATAGGAATGGGAGAAGAAGTTTCGTGAATAGTCATCGTGGAGAACTTCTTGCTGTCAGATGAATTTTCGGTTAGAGAGGAAGAGTCAGTGGTTGTTTTGGTTGCCATGGATCGTGGCTAAGAGGTATTGAAGACAAGTAGCAGCAGCACAAAGAAGATTGCTGACGGCTGTTGCAGGTCTTTAGAAGTAAGGTTAAAATAGAAAAGAAATGAAAAGAAAAGAAAGCAGCGGAAATTCCTTTTTTTTTTTTTTTTTTCAGCTCTGTAACAATCATGTCATCCACATAAACGATAAACAAAGTAATATCATCACCATTCCTCTTATAGAAGAGAGTGTGATCTGCCAAAGCTTGCTTAAAACCATACTCTTTCATTGAGTAGCTCAACCTGCCAAACCATGCTCTTGGTGATTGTTTCAACCCATATAAAGAAAAGGAACGGTTATGGCTGGAAGAAAAGAGGTTGTGGATTTCAGGTAAAGAGGAGGATTCAGCTATTATAAAAAAAGGAGAACCTTTAGATACTCTTGATCATATGGAGACTGAGTTCGATGAAAAAATAGGTGAAAGACCAGCCCACTTGTTCAAAGAAGTATATGTGAGAAGGAACAAGGATGCCACTGTCATGCCGCCTCCTTCTAACTCTAGTACCCCTCTTGATGATACTACCATGCCATCGGATGAATCTTCTAGGATTAACTCTGAGGTACATGTTTCTTCTCCTTTAACTTCAACTTCAGCTATTAATTCTAACCCTGTAACTTCTGTGGAGACTGCTGCCTTGAATCCACAGGTTGGTTATCAGGGTAGGAGGTATCCTTTTCGTGATCGTAAAGAACCTGATAGGTTGGGTTTCTCCAAATTTTCTTCTAATGTTGTCTATCCTATCTCTGATTTTGTTTCCTATCACCGTCTGTCTAAGACTCACCTAGCTTTTGCCCTTTAGTTGTCTTCTGTGTCTGTTCCTAGTCATTTTCAGGATGCCCTTGGAGATCCTAAGTGGAAGGCTGCTATGGTAGAGGAAATGAGGGCTCTCCTGAAGAACTCTCCTTGGGAGTTGGTCGAGTTACCTCAGGAAAAGAAGACAGTGGGATGTAAGTGGGTGTTTACAGTGAAGTATAAGTTAGATGGGACAGTTGAGAGGTACAAGGCTAGACTAGTTGCCAAGGGATACACTTAGACTTATGGGATTGATTATCAAGAGACCTTCGCTCATGTGGCCAAGATGAACACTGTTCGAGTTATACTCTCTCTCGCAGTTAATTTGGACTGGCCATTACAACAGTTTAATGTGAAGAATGCCTTCCTTCATGGTGATTTGATAGAGGAGGTGTATATGGATCCTCCCCCGGGGTTTATACCTGAAGGAGGTAAGGTATGCAAGCTAAAGAAGGCTTTATATGGGTTGAAACAATCACCAAGAGCATGGTTTGGTAGGTTGAGCTACTCAATGAAGAAGTATGGTTTTAAGCAAGCTTTGGCATATCACACTCTCTTCTATAAGAGGAATGGTGATGATATTACTTTGCTTATCGTTTATGTGGATGACATAATTGTTACAGGTAGCAACACCAATGAGATAGAGAAGCTTTGGAGCTATTTGGCCAAGGAATTTGAAATGAAGGAGTTGGGGGTTCTGAAATACTTTCTGGGCATTGAAGTGTCTCGGTCCAAGCAGGGACTTTTTCTCTCTCAACGAAAGTATTCATTAGATCTCTTGGCTTAAACTGGTAACTCTGCGTGTGTATAGACACTCCTATTGAAGTAAATCATGGCTTAGCTATCTATCCTGATCAGATTCCGACAAACAAGGAGAGATATCAGAGACTAGTGGGGAAGTTGATCTATCTAACTCACACTAGGCCTAACTTGTCGTATGCAGCTAGTGTTGTGAGTCAATTCATGTACAATTCGAGTGACCGACACATGAATGCAGTGAATCGTATTTTGGCTTATCTAAAGTCCTCTCCAGGTAAAGGTATTATGTTCTCCAGGCATGGACACCTAGACATTGTGGGTTATACAGATTCTAATTTTGCGGAAGCCAAGTTGGATAGGAAGTCTACTTCAGGGTTTGTGTCATTCGTTGGAGGCAATTTGGTGACCTGGAGGAGTAAGAAACAGAATGTGGTATCATTGTCTAGTGCAGAAGCTGAATACCGTGCTCTTCATCATGCAATTACGAAGCTTACATGGTTGAAGATTCTCTTAAGTGAGCTTGGGTTTGGTCCAAAGAAACCTATATTGATTTTTTGTGATAATACGGCAGCTATTGATATTGCTAATAATCCAGTGCAACATGATCGAACTAAGCATATTGAACTTGACAGAAACTATATCAAGGATAACCTGGATTCTGGTGTGATAGAGGTTCCTTACATTAAGAGTGCAAACCAGCTAGCTGATATGATGACTCATGGTGTTACTAGTGGCTCGTTTCATACATCACTATCCAAGTTGGGCATGTACGATATCTATGCACCAACTTGAGGGGGAGAGTTAGCGTGTACAGCTGAATGTACAGCTGTTATCTATTAAGAGTTACAGCTGAATGTACAACTGTTATCTATTAAGAGTTACAGCTGAATGTACAGTTGTTATCTATTAAGAGTTACAGCTGTTATCTATTAGGAGTTAGCGTGTATTAGTTGTCAAATTAATTGTATAGTTGATTTACCTTGAATAGGTCTGTGTATTCTGTATAAATACCCTTGAGATATATGAAAGAAATATAACTTTTTCTGCCATTTATCAATTATATGATATGTTGGGACTGTGATCTCCTAGAAATTTCATTCTTGACATTCTCACTAACATAACTCTACATGCATGAGCAGATCACGAGAGTGTACAAGGGAAAAGAGCATGCTGAAGTTGAATTTATTGTAAGTTAATCTTCATTGAATTTTATTTATGTGTTTGCATATGTTCTCAGTGGCCCTGAAAAAAAAAAACGTATAGAAAAGAGATTGTAGTTTCATTTTGGAGCTCTTTTCAGGAACAATATTCTGAATTGTAGGTTGGCCCCATACCTATTGATGATGGAATTGGGAAAGAGGTTGTAACCCAAATTACTACATCCATGAAAAGCAATAAGACATTTTACACGGATTCTAATGGACGTGATTTCATTGAGCGGGTACGTTGCAGAACCACATCTTGAAGTTATTTTATCATATACTGCTATTTGATATGCCTCACTAATTAGTTGACTCTGCTAGCATATTCTTAAATAGTTCGGACAATGTCTGCATGTTACTATAAACATGGAGGAATTAACGAATTTGTGGTGACTAAAAGAAATTATTTTGTTTGACAGATTCGAGATTATAGAGCTGACTGGGACCTTGAAGTGAACCAACCTGTTGCAGGAAATTATTACCCCGTATGTTTTTATTATAGTTAGAACTATTTAGTTCTTGTTCCTCAATTCATAATTGTTCTTATTTGTAATGGTCAAATCATCTTTTTTTTTTTTTTAAATTGGCAAGAAACACACTCACACCCCATGCACACACTTTTTGCCCACACTTGGGCTCGAACCCCTCCCCTCCTCTTTAAGGATGGAGGGGTTATATCATTGGGCTTATGGTGAAAATTTTAATGAGTAGATTCAGATTTTGGTTTTATGGTAATAATTTATGAGACCTTTTCACATGTAAAAAATAGTAATTTCTTGTGAAAACAGTTGAATGTAAAAGGCTCTTGTAAGCCACAAATTCTCATTAGCCATGCTCCTAATTTATATTACAGACTGAGTATTATATAAGTGGAAAGTAAATCAAATCACTGGTCGTATGCCTCTAATAGGCACATGATGAAAATAATATCATATAAAATCAAATTTAGACCAGATCAAATCCAATCCCTAAAGATACTCCCAATACAGATCAAAAGAAGAAGTTTTGGGTTTTGGCTTACTCAAACCGAGAGCCAAGATCTATATTTATATACAAGAATAGGGTACAAAGAAAGGAAACCAAATCAAAGAAAGACAGAAAATATGCCAAAATCTACGTGATCCCATGATTATGGGGATCTTATCTACGGGATCCCATAATTACGTGGGTCTTATCTATGTGATCTTATGATTATAGGGATCTTACATAAAACACCTAATAAAAGGCTAAAAACAGCTAATAAAAATAATAATGATAAAAATATTTCAACACTCCCCCTCAAACTGGAGTGAAGATATCAATCAAGCCCAGCTTGGTAATCGAGGAATGAAGCAAAGATAGACAAACAGAATTGGTGAACTCATCGGCCGACTGATTAGAGGAATGAACAAAGCATAGCTTGATAATTCCCGAATGAACCTTCTCTCTGATAAAATGAATGTCTACCTTTATATGTTTAGTCCTCTCGTGAAGAACAGAATCTGAAGCAAGCATGATGGCTGACTATTTATCACAAAACAAGTCTGAGGACTGGTTTTCACCTAGCCCTAGCTCCTCCAAGAAAGATCAAAGCCAAAGAATCTCACAAGTACCCTCAGCCATGGCACGAAACTCAGCCTCTACTGAAGATCTCGAAACTATAGGTTGTTTCTTAGTTTTCCAGGATATAAGATGGTCTCCATAGAAAGTACAGAAACTAGATGTGGAACGTCTGTCAAGGACCCAGCATAGTCTGCATCATTGAAACAGGATAACCTAACCTGCTTCCTAGAAGAATAGAATAATCCAAGTCTAGGCAGGACTTACGATATCGAAGAATATGATATACCGCATCCATATGAGCTGTACGAGGAGCATGCATAAAATGGCTCACAACACTAACCGCAAAAGCTAAATCAGAACGGGTGTTGGTAAGATAAATCAATCTTCCTACCAAGTGCTTATACTGTGAGGGATCAGAAAGGAGATCTCCGGACTCAGCCGAGATCTTCAAATTAGGATCCATATGAGTGGAAGTAGGTTTACACCCAAGCATACCCGTGTCTCGAAGAAGATCCAAGACATACTTCCTTTGCGATAAAGAGATACCCTGCTTAGATTTAGCAACCTCAATTCCCATTAAATATCTGAGCTGCCCAAGGTCTTTCACATTAAAAGCTTTAGCCAATTGAAGCTTTACTTGAGCAGTCCTAAGGATGTCATTGCCAGTAATGATGATATCATCAACATAGACCAGCAGAATGATACATTAACCAGTGGAGGAACGGTGGATAAAACATGTATGGTTAGAATGGCATCTAACAAACTCCATGGATAGAATTACATCATTGAAGTGGCTGAACCAAGCTCTGGGAGATTGTTTTAATCCATACAAAGACTTCCGCAATCGAGAGACCTTTCCCCCTCAACCTGAAAACCGGGTGGAGGATCTATATAAATAGTCTCAAGAAGATCACCGTTAAGGAAAGCATTCTTCACATCAAGCTGATAAAGAGGCCAATTGTGAGAGACAGCTAGGGAGACAAGCAAACAAACTGAGGTCAATTTAGCCACCGGAGCGAAGGTATCATTAAAGTCTTTACCAGGAATTTGAGTAAACGTTTTGACCACCAAACGGGCTTTATACCGATCGATAGAGCCATCAGCCAGATATTTGACACTGAATACCCATTTGCAACCAACTATCTTTTCACCAGGAGGGAGAGATACAAGTTCCCATGTTTCATTATGCTGCAAAACATCCATTTCTACCTTCATAGCAAACATCCAATTTGGATTCCGGAGAGCCTCAGATAACTTTCGGGGAATGAAAATGGAATCAAGTTTGCCTAGAAAGGCTTGGTAAGACCCTGAAAGACCATCATAAAGATATACTGCGAAATAGGATGATCAGTACTATAAATGAATCCAAATCAAGCAGGGGGTTTGCGGTTCCGAGTGGGATACCGAGACTCAGGAACAGGAACAGGGTCAGGGCAATGTAAAGGAGATAGAGATGTACTTGAACCTGAATCTGAGGAAGATGAAGGCAGTGGAGGCGGAGCACGAGGGCGGCGTGAATAGACCTGCAAAGGGGGTGAGGAAACCACAAGAGAAGACTCTTCTTGAAAAATAGGAAGAGGACGGGCAATAGGAGAAGCCTCTTGATCGAGAGTAAAAGTTTCCTACAAGATAGTGTTAGAACCATAAAATGGGTATGCTCATGAAAGGTGACATCAAGAGAATGATACTTGTGTTTGTGTACTGGATCATAACACCGATAACCTTTTAACATGGAAGAGTATCCTAAAAAGATACATTTAATGGCCTTGTCGTCAAGTTTAGTATGAGAAGGGCTACGATTTTGAACAAAACATGTACATCCAAACACTCGAGGCATGATGGAAAAAAAGAGTAATATCAGGCTGGAGTATTTGTAAGGGGCCTTACCATTTAAGACTCTACTAGGGGTACAATTAATGAGAAAAATAGCTGTAAGAACCGAAATGTGCCAGTGTGACTTTGGCATATTCGTACCACTTAAAAGACATCGAACAACTGACATTAGTTGGCGATTTTTATGCTCTGCAACACCATTCTGTTCAAGGGTATATGGACAAGTAAGCTGATGAAGAATACCCTGTTGGTTAAGTTGAGACCGAAACTCATTCGAAACATATTCACGACCATTGTCAAACTTAATATTCCTAACAACAGTTTTATATTGAGTTTTAATCATTTGGAGGAATTGAGTGAACAAGGGAAAAACTTCAAATTTCTTGTAAGTAAATATACCCATGTGCAACGGGAATAATCATCAATGAATGTGACATAATAACGATGCCCCGAAAATGCAGTAACAGGAGAAGGACCCCACACATCAGAATGTATGAGATCAAACATATTAGGTGCACGATGCATATGAAAAATATAACTGTTTCTAGTATGTCTAGAAAGCTCACAAATCTCACATTGAAACTTATTATCCTTGCAAGCTGTTATTAATGAAGGGAAAAGTAGACATAAATACTGAAAGTTTACATGCCCAAGGCGAGCATGCCATAAACTTAAAGTCTGAAAAGAAAAATCATAAGACCTGGAAATGGAAGAATAGAGGCTTGAAGGCCTGAAGCAAGTGGAGGATCCCTAAAGTAGTAGAGGTCATCGTGCTCATTTCCCCTGCCAAAATCCTCTTCGAACACAAGTCCTTAAAAACACAGTAATGAGGAAAGAAAATCACTGCACAATTTAGTGTTTTGGCAAGTTTGCTAACAGATAAAAGATTAAATGCAAAGTTAGGAGCATAAAGACCAGATGGAAAAATAATATCAGGGGATAAATGAACATCTCCTTTGCTACGAATAATGGTGGTTAACCCATCAGTTAAACTAACAGCCTAATTAACAGGGGTAACGGGAGTAGAAAATAATGACAACTCACTAGTCATGTGATCATTAGCTCCGAATCCAGAACCCAAGTAGGTTTTCCTGCTTTAACATGATAAGCAGAAGGAGTAGTTGTAGCTATAGTAGTCGTGGGAGTAAAAGAGCTGGCCTGGTAGATAAAGCTCCGAACTGCTCGTGATGAAGCTGACAAATCTGGGGCTTTAACTGTTTGAAGTCCTGAAAAGATGGTCTAGGAGGAGTTGAAGCAAGAGGGACAACAATCTATGGAGTAGTATACCCACTAATAGTATCTGCTATTGTGGAAGTGCGGCCACGGCCCGAAGATAAAGTGTCCTTTTGGCTACTAGAATCACTCATAGTACCAAAATAAAGCTGGTCCACACGTCGATGGGGGAGGAAAGAGAAAAACAAGGTTGGAAAAATCTGAAGCCCCGTTTGGTTGCTTGTGTTATTGCCGCTCTGGCTGTCGGCGAGCTCGCCGTCTTTTATCGTCGTTGCTGCTCGTTGCTGGGTCGCCGGTGGCTATCGTGAGTTGTGTCATCACCATAAGAAATTGATTTTGCCATTGTTATTTGCAGAGGTGAGGCTTCATCGATTCTTATTTTTGGCTGGAAGTTGCAGAGGTTTTGTTCAGTGTGGTGTCGCTTCTTGTTGATTTGCTGCTGCTTATGATTGGATTGCCATCGCCGGCGCTGTGTGCTTGCCGCCGTCTATGAGTTTGTAAAGAAGAACAACTGTGTTTGGCTACAGGGTTCTGTTATCCCAAACCAGGTTAGGGATATTCAAAACACAGTTATGCTATCCCAACGTTGGTCTACTAAAATCAGGGTTGTAGAGATCTAGTTCTAATTCTACCCATTTACCCAGATTCGACCCGTTTGACTAGATTCGATCCGAATACAGATTCGGCCAAATTTTTTTTCCTAGGTTCGATAATTTATTTTGTCAACTTCTCTTCTCCATAGCTACCAATTCAAACTTTTTATCTTCCTCTGCTTCCTTCAATCCTCTCATGACTTCAGTAAAACTTAATGGCAAGAATTACGTTTTATGGCCAAGTCAGTAGCAATTTTCTTGAAAGCCAAAGGCTTTGGCACTCATTTGGTTAAGGATAAACCTAAAGACAGTGATGTTGATTTCAGTTCATGGGAGCAAAGGGATGCTCAGATTATTTCTTTAATGTTGAATTGTACTAAACCTTATGTGCTCCAATATAACTGTTGTATTTGGACACTACCAAGGAGATATGGAACCGTCTCCAACAGTTATATTCCGGTACCGGTAATATCACCAAAATTTATGAGGTGTACAGACAATACTTTGACCTCTAGCAAGGTACTCAAAGTCTAGAAGAATACTTCTCACGGGCATTGGGAATTTGTGAAGAAATGAACTTGTATCAGCCCATCACCTTTGATGTGAAGAGTATGCAATAACAACGTGAGGATTTTAATGTTGTTCGTGTTCTAAAAGGGTTATCACCACAGTATGAACCTATTCGAGCACAGATTTTGGGTAGCCCAGCACTTTCCACTCTTCCTGATATGTTATCCAGACTCCAGCTTGCTACTCTATCTAGTGGTGCTTCAGGGGGTGCTTCAAGTGGTGTCATTGCTCCTCCTAGCAGTGAAAATTCTACATTAGTTGTCTCCCAGGGTGGCTTTCATTCTTCTCGTGGCAGTGGCGGTCGTTTTACCCATAGCCGTGGCCATGGTCGTGGCAGAGGTAGAGACTCGAAACTCTGTACTCACTGCAGTCTTACTAATCACACTGTCAATTATTGTTGGGCTCTTCATGGGAAACCGCCACCTTCTCCCTATGCACATCACTCGACCTTTAATAAAAAGGATTCTTCTTTCTTTGCCACATCAACTACTTCACACTTGGCTGTTGAGCTTGCCATGGTCACGATTCCCCGCGATGAGTATGCTCATCTTATGTCTCAATAATGGCCTTCCACCTCATTTTTCATGGTTTCCTTTGCCCAATCAGGTAGTGCACCACTATTGTCCTCTCGTCAGAGTCCCTGGATTCTTGACTCTGGCGCATCCGATCACATGATTGGTAGTTCTCATCTCTTATCTGATTTTCATTCTGTTCCTTCCTCTCAAAGTGTTACTCTTGCTAAATGGCTCATCAACTAAAGTTTTGGGTTTAGAAACTACTCATCTCACTTCTTCTATGTCCCTCTCCTCTGTATTATATGTTCCTCAATTCCCTTTTAATTTGATGTCTATTAGTAAATTTACTAAATCTCTTAATTGCTTTGTTACATTTTATCCCACATGTTGTATTTTTCAGGATCTGACGATGAAGAAGATTGGTACGGAACATGAAGTAGGTGGCTTGTATTACTTTGATTTTGCACCATTTCCCACGGCTCTTCACTCATCTTTGTCTTCTTTCCAGTGGCACTGTCTTCTCGGCCACCCATTATTATCAGTTTTACAGCGTCAAGTACCCAGTCTTAGTCGTGTTGAGTCCATGTCTTGTGAAGTAGGTCAGCTTAGTAAGCATTGTCGTGTGTCCTTCAAACCTAGAGCTACTAATAGTGTTGCTAGTCCTTTTCAGTTAGTTCATTCAGATGTATGGGGACCAATAAAACATATTTCTATTAATGGATTTCGTTATTTTGTGACATTTGTAGACGATCATTCTCGTATGACTTGGTTGTTTTTAATGAAAATTCATTCTGAGTTATTCTCTATTTTTCAAATATTTTGAAAAGAAATAAAAACTCAATTTGGGTGTTCCATTAAAGTTTTACGTTCTAACAATGGCAAAGAATATTTCTCGGCCCCTTTTGAGACTTATTTTCATGCTAAAGGCATCATTCATCAATCATCTTGTACTTATACTCCTCAACAAAATAGAGTAGCTGAACGTAAAAATAATCATCTCCTGGAAGTGTGCCCTTCCCTTTTATTTCATATGCATGTTCCCAAACGTTTTTGGAGTGATGTTGTTCTTACGGCCTGTCATCTTATTAATCGGATGCCCTAGTCGATCTTACAAGGGAAATCTCCTCATTCTGTTCTATTTCCCAACTCCGCGTCGTTTAATCGTACTCTTCGGGTCTTTGGATGTGTGTGTTATGTCCATAACCTTGGATCTGGTCTTGACAAACTCGACCCTCGTGCCACCAAGTGTGTTTTTCTTGGGTATTCTCACACTCAGAAGGGTTATCGTTGCTAAAGTCCTCATTTTCAACACTATTTCACTAGTGTTGATGTCTCTTTTTCTGAGTCTCTCTCATATTTTTCTGATTCTACTCCTCTCGATATTACTCCTAAGTCACCTATGCCAACTTTTCCCTCTTTATTCCCTGCTCCCGTACCTCCTCGCTCCGTTGTCCCATTGCAGGTTTATACTTGGCAACCTCGACCACCTACTTCGCTCCCTCCATATCCTTCAGAGTCTTCGGATCCGACGCCACCTACTATGCCTGATGATTTGCCTATTGCTTTACTGCACATTCTATTTCTAACTTTGTTTCCTACAGTAATGTTCCATCCTCTTTATCTTGTTTTGTATCCAAAGAGTCTGCTACTTTTATTCCCAAGACTTTGCAAGATGCTCTCTCTAATTCGGATTGGCGCTAAGGTAGATGAAATGGATGCCCTTCACCGTAATCGGACATGGGATCTTGTTCCCTTACATCCGGGCTCCAAACCGGTTGGTTGTAAGTGGGTCTACACTATTAAATACCTTCACGATGGGTCTATTAAGTGATTGAAGGCTCGTCTTGTGGCAAAAGGGTTCACTCAGACTTGTGGTGTTGATTATGATGAGACTTTTTCCCTTGTTGCTAAGATTTATTCTATTCAGGTACTTATTTCCATTGCTGCCAATTGTAACTGGCCGTTGTTTCAATTGGATGTCAAAAATGCCTTATTACATGGTGACTTGGTTGAAGAAGTTTATATAGAGCAACTACCTGGGTTTGTTGCTCAGGGGGAGTATCGTCATACTGTTTGTCGCCTTAAAAAGGCCCTGTATGGATTGAAACAATCTCTACGGGCTTGGATTGGAAAATTCTCTAAGGCGGCATTAGAATTTGGTCATAGCAGATGCCAGACCGATCATTCGGTATTCACCGGCGCACTAAAGCTGGCTTCATTTTTGTTGTGGTGTATGTAGATGATATTGTGATCATAGGTGATGATTTTGAAGGCATTGCCAAGTTGAAGTTGTTTCTGCAAAATCGATTCCACACTAAAGACTTGGGTAAACTAAGGTATTTCTTAGGTATTAAAATTGTTAGATCCAAGGAAGGTATAAGTTTATCTCAACGAAAATATGTGTTGGTAATTATGAGAAAAAGAAAAAGAAAATATGTGTTGGACTTATTAGAAGAAACGGGTATGTTAGGTGGTCGTCCGGTTGCTGCTCCTATGGATTCAAATACAAAACTTGTGCCTAATGAGGGTGATCTATTTAATGACCCGGGCAGATTTCTTCGCCTTGTTGGGAAATTAATTTATCTCACTAATCAGTCGACCTGATATTTCATATGCAGTTAGTGTTGTAAGTCAATTCGTGGGAGCTTTTAGAATGTCACATTGGAATGTTGTTCTTCGGATTATTCGATATCTCAAGCAAGCTCCAGGTTTTGGGTTGCTATATAAATCAAATGGTCATCTCAGGGTGGAAGGTTTTACAAATGCTAACTGGGCTAGTTCTCCTTCAGATAGGAGATCTACTACAGGCTACTGTACATTTGTAGGGGGAAATCTTGTTACATGGAGAAGTAAAAAGCAAACGGTGGTAGCTCGATCTAATGCTGAAGCTGAGTACAGGGCCCATACCACTAGTGAGTTGACATGGATACAACATTTTCTAAAAGAACTTGGGTTGACAGTTGAAACTCCTATTCCATTGTTCTGTGATAATCAAGCAGCTGTTCAAATTGCATCAAATCCTATGTTTCATGAGAGACCAAACATATTGAAGTTGATTGTCACTTCATTCGAGAAAAAATATTAAGTGGGAGCATCTCTACTCCATTTGTAAAGTCTGAAGATCAATTAGCAGATATGTTTACCAAAGCATTGGGTTATAACCGGTTAAGGACTATTTGTTCCAAACTGGGATTATTTGGTATATATTCTCCGACATGAGGGGGAGTGTTAGAATATTTATGTGTGTATATATATTTATGTTAGGTCATGCTGTAATTACATAGAGTTGGTAGGGTCATTATGTAATTAGCTCATTCTTGTACCTGTATATAAGCTTCTTTTGTCTTATAGTTAATATATATATATATAATACAATTGCAGCCTCCATCATCTCTCTCTCTCTCTCTCTCGTCAGTTTGAACAATATCAAACTGCTGAAGAGGCCACTCCAGGTTTGCAACCAAGGATAAGAGGACCCTAATAGTAATTATCTTTGCCGCTGGTGCAAATGTTTCCTGATAATCTATCTGTTAGCTACCAATCTTGCCTTGAACCTCTCTACAGAACAATTTGCGTTATTCTTCATTGTGAACACCCACTTGCAACCAACTGCCTTCTTTTCCTCTGGTAGCTCAACTAATTTTTTTTCCTAGTTGGTACTCACACACACTCCCTCCAAGGAATTGGTAGCTCAACTAGTTCCCATGTACAGTTTCTCTATAAAGATTCCATATCATCAATCATAGCATCTTCCACTTAGGGTTGTCAACAACTTCCTATAACTTATCAGGGATAGACACGGAATACAACTGGTTTGCAAATATTTTATAAGATAAAGATAAAAGATGTGAAGACACATAATGAGATATGTGATATTTTACAATTGGAAAGCCGTAACGAGATGGAGGTTTTCGTTCCCGAGGGGGATAACGAGCCTGATTCTCAAGAACTAACTGAGTATCGTCGTGTGACTCATAAAGTTGATCAATAGGTAACTGAGTTGAGTTTCAATAGAGAGTTCAAAAGAAGGAACTACCTTAGGACTACCTGTCACAGGAGCGCCTAATTGGTCATTGGGTTGATCAAAAGGTGGTTGAGTTGCCTGTGTCTTCTCCCTTCTTGAGTATACCAATCTGTATAGCTCAAGAAGTCCATTTGAAGTCGGTACAGAAGTTCCAGTAAATGATAATAGAGGTAGCACATCCCAAGACTTCTCTTCGTCTCCTTCTCCCCCTGAAGGGAAGTGTCTGAATCTCCCCTTGAATGGTAAGCCTGATCTTCAACAAAAGTAACATCCATGGAAACAAGCATCTTTGCTGAAGGAGGGTGATAGCATTTGTATCCTTTTTGTGTGGGAGAGTACCCAAAGAAAATGTACTTGAGTGCTCTCGGATCCAGTTTACTCAGGTGTTGTTTGTGAATATATGCATAACAGACACAAGCTGGGTAGGATGTGAAGAAGAGTTAGAATAAAGTGTGTTTTGGACAGGGACTGAAGAGGGGTCTGGAACTGAAGGACTTTTAAAAGGCATTCTATTATTGAGACATGATGTTGTAAGGACATCATCTCCCTAGAACATTAATAGCAAAGAGTAATGATCTAGCAACTTCTAAGAGATGTCGACTCTTACGCTTGGCTACACCATTCTGCTAGGGTGTGTCAACACATGAAGTTTAATGAATGATACAATTGAATGTAAAAGGCTCTTGTAAGGCAAAAATTCTCATTAGCCATGCTCCTAATTTATATTACAGATTGAATATTATATAAGTGGAAAGTAAATAAAATCACAGATCTTATGCCTCTAATAGGCACATGATGAAAATAATATCATGTAAAATCAAATTAAGATCAGATCAAATCCAATCCCTATAGATACTCCCAATACAGATCAAATCCCTATATTTTCTCCCAATACTCCCCTTCAAGCTAGAGCGAAGATATCAACTAAGCCCAGCTTGCTAATACCGGAGTAAAGAGCAGATTGTCCTACTAACTTTGTGAACATATCGGAAGCTGATTAGTAGAATAAATGAAGGAAGTATGGATAACTCCACATCGCACTTTCTCCCTGAGAAAGTGAATATTAACCTCAATATGCTTCATCCTCTCATGAAGAACTGAGTCAGATGCGAGCATAATAGCAAACCAGCTATCATAGAAGAGAGTTGATGAACTAAATACAGGGAATCCTAGCTCAGTCAATAGGGAACGAAGCCATAGGATCTCACATGTGCCCTGAGCCATGGCACGGTACTCTGCCTCTGCAAAAGAACGAGACACAATGCTTTGTTTCTTACTTTTCCAAGAAATTAAATTGCCCCTGTGAAAAGTACAGAAACCTGAAGTAGAGCGACGTCAGAGATCCGACACAGTTAGCATCGGTGTAGCACAAGATAAGAGGTTGTGGTATGGATTTGTAGAATAGACCAAGT